GCTCCTCGGAGGGCGCCCCGGTGCGGTCCGAGGTTCGGGGAGAGCGCCCGACCCGCAGCCATGGACGGGCGCGCGGCCGTTGCAGCCGCGGCCCTGCTGACAGCCGCCGCGCTGCTGGGCACCGCCTTCGTGCAGCCCGGCGCCGAGGGGCGCCAGGCCCGCACGCCCCCCGGCCCGGCGCCGAGAGGCGACCGCAGCCGCTCGGCACCGCCGCTGCCAGACGGCGCCGCGGCGTCGGAGGGCGCCGCCGCGTCGTGGGCGGCGCGCAGCATCTCCATCGGCCCGGCGGTGGGGCTGGCCATCGGCCTGTCGGCGTCGGCGCCGGTGGTGGCCGCGGGGGTGCAGAAGTCGGTGGCGGACGAGTTCGACCAGGTGCAGAGCTTCGTCGACGGCAGCTCCTCTGGGTACCAGGCCCCACCTGGCACCACCGGCGGCGCGGCGGGAGAAAGGCCAAGGGGTTCAAGAGCCGCCGCTCCGCCGAGGACATCAAGGCCGAGAAGGCGGCCAGGCGGGCGGCCCAGCCGGGCATCGGGGGCGGCCCGAGCGGGCCGCCCGACTGGAGTTTCGTCCAGGACTTCCTCCCCGCACTGTCGCTGCCCTCGCTGGACGTACCGTCCGTCTCCTCGGACAAGCTGCTGGGCGTGGTCGTGGGCGGAGGCCTCTCTCTGGCGCTGCCGGCCCTGGCAGTGTCCAACCAGGTGAACGCCAGGATCGAGGCGAAAAAACGGGAGGAGGCGAGGCGCAGGGCCGAGGAGGCGGAGTTTCAGAAGACCATTGGCGGCCTCGTCGGCGCCGCCGTCCCCGTCGCCGGCGCCGCGATCCTCGCGGGCGGCGTCTTGTTCTCCGCACCACCAGCGCCTCCGCCCCCGCCCGCGCCGACGCAGACCGCACCCGCGCCCAAGCCACCTGCGGCAAGAGCGACGGCAGAGGCTGAGGCCAAGGCCAAGGCTGAGGCGGACGCGAAGGCCAAGGCAGAGGCGGATGCGAAGTCCAAGGCTGAAGCGGACGCGAAGGCCAAGGCTGAGGCGGAGGCCAAGGCTAAGGTTGAGGCCGAAGCGAAGTCCAAGGCTGAGGCGGAGGCCAAGGCCAAGGCTGAGGCGGAGGCGAAGTCCAAGGCCGAGGCGCAGGCCGCGGCCAAGAAGGCAGAGGCGCCGAAGCGGGCGCCCGCGCCCGCTCCGGCGCCGGCGGCCACGGGGCGGCGGCGGGGGCGGCGGCGGGGACAAGCCCAGGGACGAGCCTCCTGCAGAGGCCACCGAGGAGGAGAGCGACGCGCCGAGCGAGTCTGGCGAGACGGAGGCCGTGCTGGAGAAGGACAACAAGGGCAGCAAGGATACGAAGGGCAAGAAGTGAGCCTGGGGCTTCCGCGCAGAGCAGGAAGCCAGCAGCGGCTGCGTTTTTCGCGCGACTGCCGCCTTCGCATTTTCCAGTGCGAACTGTGCCGGGTCCTCTCGACCCACGGGGAGGCAACACGCACGACCGTTGCGTTTCGAGCACGTGGGGCTGAAATCGTCGACCCGGCCTCTCCAGACCTCAGCGCCGTGACGCAGCCAGCCTGGCGCTGCGCGAGCTATCCGCGAGCTGTCATCAGGAAGTGTCAGCATTGCTTTAAGTCAGGCGTGTCCCCCGACAGGGGGATTATCGATGAAATGTTTAAAAAAATCAAAACATATTCCAGAAATAGTCTGGGGACTATGTTCTTTTAGTATTGTTTGACCATGTTGGTATATTTTTGGTGTATTTTCTAGCTTTCGCCGAAAATCCCCCTGTAGGGGGGACACGCCCGACATAAGCATTGCTGTGCGCGACGCTGGGGCAGCATCGCGCCGAGCGCCGTGGGATGGCTCACAGCTCCGGCACCCTGTCCAGCGCAGGTATGCTGCAGTTGGGAGTTGCCCGCAGCACAGGGGCACGCAATTACTCTGCGAGCCGATTTCGTGAGGCCTGCTGCTGGCGCGCTGAATTTTTTTTGTCAATGGCTTTTTCTTAACGCGGCTTGGCCGCGGCGCGCCGCCCGGCGGAGGGCGGGCGGGCCCAATCGGTTTCTGCTCTCCCGCCAGGGGCCTCTCCACGGGGCCTTGGGCCCTCGCGGAGGCGGCGGCGGCCCGGCCTCTCCCCCGGCGCTCGTCGTGGCCGCGCCTCGGCTGCGCCGCGCACCTCTGCCGCGCGGCGCGCCGGGCTCGAGGAGGCCCTCTGCGCCCTCGGTGCCCCGCCGAGGGTGCTTCGAGCCGCTCCCCCGACGACCCCGCAGGAAAAACAACCAAAAAAAACTGTTTTGATCTGCAGGGCGAGAGCGAACCTCTTCCGCTGAAAGCTAAGCGGGACGCGCACAGCTTTAATTAGCAGAGAAAGGGCGGAAGATGGCGGGGCCTCACGCGGCCGGGAGAGGGCGAAACCCAGAGATCAGGCGGTGCCGAAGTTGACGTGCAGGAAAAGGTACTTCTTTGGACATGAGCCCGGTGGAACCAAAAAAAAAACATGACGGCCCAAGAGGACCTCCAAG